GTTTTTACAATACATTACAATACTTTGGTAATATTGTATTATAATAAATTGAGAGAATAACAAAAATGGAGCAGAGAATCATCATTATTCATAGATTACCTTTATGATCTTTTATTAAATTGGCTTGTTTGACATATTATTTATATGCAAACTATATTTGATAAATTCAGGTCAAACAAGTATAAGGTATATATATATATTTGCTGATGTTTATTATCAATTCATATCTATTAATCTTGTCTTTAATATCCTTCAAGACCTTATTGGCGTTGTTATTATGCAAATACCGATGCAGTGATATATGTAGTAGATTCTATAGACCGTGATCGTATGAGTACCTCAAGAGAGGAGCTTCATGCTATGCTTGATGAAGAAGAATTACGGGATGCTGCGCTATTGGTCTTTGCTAATAAACAAGATATGGTTGGTGCATTGACTTCAGCTGAAGTATCTGACGCCTTAGGGTTGAGTACGTTGAAAAATCGGCAATGGAGTATCTATAAAACAAGTGCTGTAAAAGGTGATGGCCTAACAGAAGGCCTAGATTGGTAACTTTTCCCGTTTTTAATGTATTTTCAATTTTATTATTGTATTCATTAATATTGATTGATTATTTATGTTTTTATTATTTAGGTTGGTAAACATTATTCAAGGCAACAAAAATTAAGCAATTTAATATATAGAATACTACACGAATTTTTTCAAATAAGAACTTTTTTCATCATTTTAATAGTTTACATTGGATATTGTACAAAATTTTTTTTTCTTATTTAAACTAGTTTTTCACAGTGTCTTTTTCATTTTTTTTTTTTTTACATCTGTTTATCATGTTTGTTCTAAAGGAAAAGGAAAAAGTTAATAATTGATTTTGTAATTAAGTTTAACGCAATTAATTTTATCGTCATTTTAATACTTAATTATCATTTTGTATTCTTTTTTTTTCTCTTTTTTTTTTTCCTTTGTGCCAAGGTGAGGGATGCTAATTTAAAAATTATTTGTAAAAGTATTAGAGGCGGTAATAATAATATAAATCATAGACTTCATATATTCATCATAATCATGCAGGAAATTTTTATTTGGTTTTTTTGAAAAAACACGTTTAATAAACAGTATTAAACTAACCAATATTAGTAATATTTGGGGCACAGGTCAGGTTCTCCTAGTTTGTTGTTGTGTAACAAAAAACAATAAAATGTGGTAAATCTTGTTTCGTCAACTCGTTAACGAAACGACGATAAATCTTTTTTATATTTACGTTATTGTAAAAACAAGATTTTATTATTAAAATGAGTTATGGAGATATTTATTCGTATTATCCTGAAAAACTTTATAACCCAGTAGGTCATGAACGTCGTGAGTCAGAAAGTGATGGAGCCTTTAGGCCAAGTTTTTTTCAAAAGTATGTATTCTATAATATATATTTTTTGAGTTATATATATTTTTTACTTGTTGGTTGCAAAGGTTTAAGATTTTTAATTCCTTCACTTAATTAAATAATAAATTTTCAGGTTTAATCCACGTTTAGTAAAACAAATAATTCAAAGTATTCTTAAAGAAAGATTAGAAAAAGCTATTTATGATAAAGATCAAGCTCCTGGGTGGGCTCATGAAATAGCAGAAGGAATTAAGGCAAAGTTATTAGGTTGTCACTTTTTTACTATTATTCTCTTTTTTACACGATTTACATTATCACATTCTGTTGAATCTAATTCCAAAATTTTAATTCATAACATAATTAGGTTTAGATCTTAATAGGTATAAGTATGTTGTTAATGTTACTATACTAGAAAATAAAGGAGTCGGAGCTAGGTAATCCAAAAAAAAATCACCTTTTGTTTTTATATATATATCTTTAATAGATTAATTTTAACATAATATTTTCTTTTTAGGATGCAAATTAATGGTTTATGGGACCCTAATACTGACAATTATGCCCAAGAAATCTTTAAAAACGTATGTAATATGGTTTACCTTATTTTAACAAGTTTTTTATTATACTCTGTCGATTATCACTTTAATCATCAACGGAGTATAATAAAGAATTCTAATGGGCAATTATTTGTCTTTGCACTTATTTAATAATTAATTTGGTATATCGTAATTAGGACACAATTATTTGTGTGGTTATGGCTTTTGGTGTATACTTCTATTAAATCTATAATAATCATTAGACTCCCAAGGTAACAAAAAAAAACTTATTTATTGTTAGCTTGGCTCTACAACCTGTAATCATTTATTTATGATCGTTTTGGTGTTTTATTTATACAAAAGATAATTCGTATATTATAATAGTAATATGTTAATATAAAAACCAAACATCTTGCATGCTAAACAATATCTCTAATAGCGTTAAATCTAATAAAGAATCAGAATTATTTTTCTTTTAAACAAATTAAATTGATTATTAACATGATCACATGGATAATTTAAGTGGGAATGGGGTTGGTATTTGTAATATAAATATCCTGAACCATTGGATATTGGGAACGAAGTTTCGCTTGTACACATAAGGTAGGCATACCTATTTCCGGGGATTTTTTTTTGCTACATATAAAAATTCTTCGAATTTTCATATATATTTAT